TAACTGAAGGTAAGGAAACTAGTTTTATGCGTGCCATCCAGCCTGTCAACACACCAAACAGGCGCCAGTCTCTCTGTCTTTTCATTGGAGGTAACATCTTGCTTGAGACTCTCTTCAACTAAATGCTTTTTTTCTGTGTTTGCAAGCAAATTATTGGTCATTTTGAAATTTATTTTACATATTGACAATATATAATGCAGTGCAGTGTTGATTTAAAGAAAATAATCTTGAATTACATCAAGAGAACTAAAATTTTATGGGTGAAATGGCGCCTTCTCTTCTCCCTTCTCCTCCACCCCCATTCTAATTCCCATCATCATCATCCAGGAGCCTTCTACATACACACCTCAAAGTAAGTGTACTTTTCTACCTTTTTTGTTGAATTTAGGCAATTTTCGGTGAGCTGGAACCAATTACCCAAAAACCCATTGAAACAATGGTTTCAGTTAACGAGCATCCTTCTAGAATGGATTGTGCCCGTTAACCGAGGGACCACTGTACAGTAAGAAAAAAATTACACTGTATTAAGCACTTCAAGAAATAAAAAAATGTGCTGAATTTCACTTTGGTATCCATATTTTATTATAAAATACCGTAGGCCAGAAAGTAAAAAAAAAAATAAGGGGTAAAGTTGCTCAAAAGTCACGTGACTGCAAAACGCCCAGTGATTTGTTAGTGGTGAAGGCAAGGGCGGAACTCAACCAGTTGATTTGGGCGCTTTGAGTCACCTTTGATCAAAAATAATATTAAAGTGAAGAAAATTGCATCGTTGATGTTCATTCCAATGTGTAAGAGTATAGAAAAATACTAGTCTCAATACCAAATGAAATGAAGAGAATGAAGATGTTGTGGCTTGCTGCTCACTGAGAGATTCCCATGTCAAAGCACTGCTTCTACTGTTGTGAAGATCATTTTAATATGAGTATCAAGTTAATATATACAGTACTGTCATGTTTTTAATGTAGGTATAAATTAGTTTTAGGGTATCATTGCATGTATATGATTGTTGGGTGCCAAAAAGAGGCAGTGAAAGATGAGAATTTTTGACAGTGGATATTAACGCTTTCATCACTGATTTCCTTAGTTTTTGAACTCCGGAAAGGACTTGGGATAGCCATGGCCAGATGATTTGCTTGGGACAATCAGAGATAGGCTGGGGATAGCCAGAAACGTGCTGGAGTGCCCTAGAGACAGGCCGAGGCCAAATATTTCACCATTAACTTCTACCTTTTATATGTAAGGTTTCATTTGGTTATGACACCTTAGGTTGTTATGTTGCTCCTTATTAACTTTCTGATGCTTCTTTCAATATCCTGCCAAATTTAGGATTTTATTCCTCGTTATCCCATGTTTAGGATATTATTCCTTGTTAGCCTTCGTTTTTATGTTTATTATTCCTCATTATCCCTTGTTTAGTGACCATTTCTCTTAAGATAGGTTTTTCAGGAATGCATTCCCATTATTATACAAGGGACACCTGTACTCTGAAGCATGGACCCTAGTTGCAAGTGTAAAAAGGCAAATTGGAAAGAAATAAAAATATTTACTGTACTTGAGAGCAATATGTAGGATGCAGAGAATTAGAAATATGGAAATTGGGACATGTGGAAACAGAAAAGGAGTTGAACAGGGTTTACTAAGGTGGTTGAATACATTAAGAGAATGGAGAGATAAAGATTGGTAAAACAAGTGTTTTAGATTGGGAAAGGATGGTATATACAGTAGTAGCAAGTAGGGTAGACCAAGAATGAGATAGAATGATGGATATCCAAGAGGTATTAGTTTATGGATATGACTGAAAAGTATTATGTCAAATTGTTTATGAGGATGTGACAGCAGTAACGATTGTATGACTGTAAATGAAGACCCTGTGTTTTCTCTTAACTCTGGCCACCCTGAAATATAGAGAGAGGTTACAAGAGTGAAAAATAGTAGAAAAAATTAATATGTACCTCATTTACAGACAAGATGGATTAACTGGCACTTTGTCCACACTAACAATGGTGTGTTCTATTTATTGAGATAGTTACAGATCACATAAATCCAGGAACATGTGAAACTTGTAAAGTTCTCATTCTTTAATTGTAGCTCTGAAACAAAGTATAGTACAATATCAAGATGAATTGAATGATTGAAATGTTTTACTCTTGTTAAAGTTTTACATGACTTACTGTAACATGCTACTCTATTCCCATATTCATGCCTACATTATGTATACAGTATATCCAAATACAGGCAGTCCTCACTAAAAAAAGGGATGTGTTCTGCAGAAATGGAACATAATGTAATACTTAGTATTGTATAATAAAGGTTGTTCCCCATAAACATGCTGTTATTAGTGTAGGATGTATTCTTTGGGGCCGATATTCAGACACCTTATACAACCAAAGCAAACCAAACTTTATACAAAAGACATTAATACTCAATTAATCAATACAGAACACCATTAAATGTACAGTATAATTAAATTAGTATTCACCACATACATTTAAAAAAATGGAAATAAATACTGCACACAGATACAGATACTCCAGGGGATGATTTTGATTCTTTTGTGGTATTGTTTATCTCAATCCAGAAACTTCTCAAAGGTTTCCATTGCAGATGGAAGGACACTGGCACAGAAGCCAGCCATATCTCCTCTCTATAAGGAGAGGGAGGATTGGACATACAGTAGGTGTAGATTCCATGCCTACCTCCTCTCTAAATGACATGCTACCCAGGCCACTGACTGACTGATATAGGGGTGTTCCCTATTTCAGCACCTTGGCATCATTCGGTGATATGAAAAGGCAACAAAATATGAGGGTCATTCAATAAGTAACGAGACAAATGAATATAACTGCAGAAGTAATGGTTTATTATTAATAATCACATGTCTATTTTTCCACATAATATCCCTCTACAGCTATGCACTTATTGCATCTTTCTATGAATTTTCTTATTCCTGTGGTTAAAAATTCTTTCGCTGAATATCATAACTAGTAAAATGACCCATTTGATCGATAAATATATACCCAAGACCAAACCCAGTGCTTCTAGGAATACGAGGGGATCCCTACACATGAACCATGCGGCAGTCAACAAAATTAAGAAGAAAACCCAGAAATTCAAGACATGGGTTGGGTCAAACGATGAACAAGACAGGAGGATGTATGCAAGAGCCAGAAACCAAGCAAAGATAGAGTGTAGGAGGGCTGAAAAGGAGTTCCAGAGGCTGGTTGCAAGCAAGGTCAAGTCAAACCCAAAGGCATTTTATCGCTATGCAAAGTCGAAATTGAAAACGCGAGTAGGAGTATCAGACCTGAGGCTGGTGGATGGTAGTTATGCAGATTCTGACCAGGATAAAGCTGAGGCATTGAACAGTTTCTTTTCCTCGGTGTTCACAAGAGAGGATGTAACTAACCTTCCTGCGTTTGAGGACAGACGGTTCGACACAGCACTGACCCACATTGTGTTCACAGAAGAGGGTATTAGAAATAAACTGTCCAGGCTAAAGGTCCATAAGAATCCCGGATCTGACATGGTGCATCCTAGAGTGCTAAGAGAGTTGTGCAACGAGCTTGCAGAGCCCCTGAAGATCCTGTTTTGTAAATGCCTGGATGAAAAAATGGTCCCCAGTGAATGGAAAGTGGCTTATGTGAGTCCTATTTTCAAGAAGGGCGATCGTCACTCCACGAACAACTATAGACCGGTGAGCCTGACCAGCATAATATGTAAAGTACTTGAGAGTATTATCAGAGATGCCGCAATGGAACATCTAATACTAAACAACCTTGTAAAAGATTGCCAACACGGTTTTATGCCGGGGCGCTCCTGCTTAACACAATTGCTCAAGGTATTGGATATTTGGACCCATATTCTGGAACGGGCTGGTAATATCGATAATATTTACCTAGATTTTGCCAAGGCTTTCGACAGTGTACCCCACGAAAGGCTGAAAATCAAACTGGAAGGGTACGGAATTCGGGGAAATGTCCTAGCGTGGATAGAAGACTTTCTACATGACTGCAAGCAGTGTGTGGTGATTAATGGCACGAAATCGTCATCTGTACCTGTCACAAGTAGGGTACCACAGGGCAGTGTATTGGGCCCGCTGTTGTTTGTTTGTTTCATAAATGACATGCCTGACGTTGTACACTCCTCCATACAAATGTTGGCCGATGACGCCAAGTTATTTCGGGAAATTAAGAACCAAGTGGACTGAAGAACTGCAGAAGGACCTCTGTGGGCTCCAGGAATGGTCGAAGAAATGGCTGCTGAGATTCAATGTCACGAACTGTAAGAGGATGCACCTGGGGCGTAACAACGGTAAGGAGGCGTATCATATGTCCCAACGGGATGAAGAAACTGCACTAGTTGAGACTGTGTGTGAGAAGGACCTAGGTGTGTATGTTGACAATGAGCTGAAGTTCTCGGGCCATTGCGAGAAGAAGGTAAATCAGGCAAATAAATTATTGGGTCTTATAAGAAGGTCGTTCAGATAATCAGACGGTCCGTCCCTCGTAACGATCTTCAGGAGTGAAGTGCTTCCCCATCTGGAGTACAGTCACCCCATCTGGTCCCCGAGATATGCTAGGGACTGTCAGTTGGTTCAAAATGTTCAAAGGAGGGCCACCAGACTGGTGCCTGCACTTTGGCACCTCAGCTACCCTGAGAGATTGGAGCACCTGAACTTGCCTAGCTTATACTACAGACGAGCAAGGGGGGACCTAGTTGAGGTGCATAAGCATCTCAGGGGGCACTACTCAGTTGAGTGTCCTTACTTGGAGCTGGTGGACGCTCGCCCCACAAGGGGTCACAGCTCAAGATTGAAGAAGCCGCAAGTCCAGAAAACCATGAGGGCAAACTTTTTCGGAGTGAGGGTTGTAAACTCTTGGTACAATCTACCAGAGTGTGTTGTGACGGCACCGAGTGTGAGCTCTTTCAAGACAAGACTTGACTAACACTAGAGCAGGTTCGGGTACATTCAGGAGCCGATCGCCCGGGCTGCTAGCGAGCCGATCTTTTGGTGAAGAAGATAAATGAAAAAGAAAAGTAATCAGAGACGTGACCGATCGCCCAAGCGGCTAACAAGCCGATCAGTGGCGAAGAGGATAAAAGTAAAAGTAAAAGTAACCAATTTTGGATTTCTTTCTTGACCACCTCATATTTTTTTTTTCCATGTAAAGCTGTTTTGAGCGGACCACACATGTGGTAGTCTGATGGTGCAAGATCTGGACTGAATGCAGGATGAGGCAAAATCTCCCAGCCCTACATATGCTGTGCACTGTGTGGTCGCGCATTGTCTTGCAGAAGAATCATGCATTTTCTTTGCAAGCTTGTTAGACCATTCTTGAATTGTTTAACCCACTATTAAATGTTCACTCAACTGATGCATTTACTTACATATTGAGGTGGCATTCTGCTATGAAATTCGTTTGGTTTTATCCCTTACAAATTTAAAAAAATGAATAACAGACCGTTGTTCTTCCAAAGTACAAAATACAAGCAGAGCGCTCATCATTAATGCAACACTTACTAGAGACTAACCGAAAGAACTGACTAAAGAAACAGATGAAGACGTAGTTTATGCCTGTCTAAGCATGTCATAACATGATCACTGCGCTTGCCCCTCCCCTTTGCCGTCTCCATCAAAAAGTCTCATTGCTTATTGAATAACCCTTGTATTTCATAACTAATGATTTTAACAAAGCACAGGATAAAAATCGTCAACAGAAGTCACTTGATACCACTCGATACAAAGAACAGGTCCCTGACATGATGCCCTGGGTTGGCAAAAAGAGTAGTAAATGCCCAGTGAATCCTTTTCGGTGAGGTGCAGTCCAAAGTAGCTTGGGTATGACTTTTGAAATCTGCATGACAGGAAAGAATGAATATCAGAAATAGCTTAGGTCATATGTCACTGAATTAAAAGAAAATATTAAAGGACTAAAATCAAATAATGAAAGGTAATAAATAATATAGACCTTTTGTAAAAAGAACATTGAAAAGTTAATAAACTCAAAGCTTGTGTAAAAGGCCAGCTTCCTCCACGTATGAGAGGACGTCCCTTCCCACATTTCCCACTCTCCCACCCAGCACCAAAGAGAGACGGTATGACCCGTCTCCAAAAGTATTAACTGCCTGTTTCATAGTGTGTATTCAGTAATTGCAATTTATTAAAATATAATGTATACCCAGTACAATTATTTCACAATTATAAAATTTTTGTCACTATAGGTTAAACTGAATACAGTACCACTCAGATGATTACAGGTAGTTATACTATGCAAACTGAACATCTTATTACTTCTGAAAATTCTCAAGAAACTTCATAATCACATTTACATTATCACTGAGTTGATTAACTTTACAAGTTGAGAGCTTTGCCACAGCCTTCTTAAGTAACTTAATAATCCCAACTGCATGATGAATGTGATCTGGCTGGCCTAATCGTACTTCTGCAATTAATTTATCAAGACGGTCTTGAGGATTTATTGGATCGCGTGTTAAAGATATCTCCTGTATTTTCTTCACGTGAAACAGCATCTGCAATGTATCCTGAGCAACTTGTTTCTTATATGCCAGTATTTTCTGTCTACCAATTGAAATTTTGACATTAGCATCTGCTTTCTTAGATACAGCTACATCAAAAAGTTCCTTTACATCATTGTTTATTTTCACTTCTAAATCATTGTACTCCCTGATCCTTTCTCCTTCTTTGATGTGTTGTGATAATGAATGTAAGCACCCACGTTCACCACATACGTCTCCTCTGCTAGGAAAAGCGCAGGAACCCTGTGAGAGAAATTTGCCACAGCAAGCTCCAGTTACAACCCCAATTGTAATGCCTACTGCACCCCCAACAAGGATGCCAGGAACACCACCAATAGCACCAATTTCAGATGCAGCAACTGTTCCACCTAAAGCTCTTGTCACCCAGCCTCCAACTGATGCAGCAAACCCAGTAGAAGTAGCAGCTCTAGTTATTACAGCAGCACTATTAAGTGTAGTTTGAACAGCAGCAGCTCCAGCAGCAGACCCACCGAGGGCTCCAGCTATCCCTCCAATAAATCCAGCTTTACTGTTTTCCTTCTCTGGGGGGCATGGAAATATACAAGTTTGATCACATGTTGGGCAATTATGGGCATGAAACCCTTCCTCAATGCTCAACCTATCTTTTCTCTTTACAATTCTTTCTTGCCTCCATTCTCTGTTTTTTGCTTCTTGTAATTCATATTTACTCAGCATTTTCTTATTCATTTCCAAGGCAGTAAGTAACTTGGCCAAATCCTCAACCTGTACTTTTAATATTTTCAATGACTTATCTAAAAGTTTCTTCTCACGCAATAACTTCACATTTACAGATGGAGCATTTACCAAGGCAGCAAAAAGCCGTTCATACTGTTCAATCATATTTTCCCATCTATAGGATAGCATACCCCGATCTCTTTTATGAATGCTAGAACTAAGCTTATGAGGAGCATAGAGGACCCCATTATCAAGTTCGAACATATTACTGAACTGTACTCCTGCATTTCTAACAATTTGGTCAACCATGGGCTTCTCAACTGCAAAAGTAGCAAATAGATTTGTAACCTCTGGCACTTCATTTCCAAGTAAAGATATAATTTCTCCTAATATGTCTTTCTGAAAACTGAAATCTCTATTTGTATTTGCCTTAGCAACTAACCCAATGCAACTCAGTTCATCTATTCCAAAGTCAGATGTTAAGAACATTTCTAATCGGTCCATAACATTTCCCTGCTCTTGCATACCTCTAGTATCTGCCAGTCCTGGAGTGTCTATAACTATGAAATTGTGATGGCATACCATTCCTTCTTGATGATAGATCACATAAACAGTAATATAATCTGTCTGGCTTTCTGTTTCCTTCCTATTGCTACTATCTATCTGGTCCTTCACTTGTATACGAAAGTTATCTTCAAACTTTACACCGAAGATAAAGTTCACGAATGCATTAACTATCGTGGTTTTTCCAGCACCTGTTTCTCCAAGCAGTAGGACACACGTGGATGGTTTGTTGTTTGAGCTTCCAACACAGAGGACTCGAATCTTGTTTTCTTCATCTCTGATTTTTACTGTACTTTGCAAATTGTACCGCTGTAGACCTCCTCCTTCACTGTCAAAGACAACATTTTCTTCAATGAAGCTGTTCAACTCAATTTCTTGCATCTTCAATAAGTCTACTGCAGTTTCAGTATCTGAAATTAATTAAAAACATAAGAAATCGTAAGTTTCCAAAAAGACTGAATCTAAATATTCCAACATGATTTTCACTATGTTTGAACATTACAGTACAGTAATGTACTAGGGTTAAGAATGATTTGAAAATATTGCCTAGTAGTGTCAAGATACTTTTGGGAGGGGGGGGTAACTGTAAACTAATGATTGTATGAGACCAATTTCATGTCTTTTAATTTTTTTTTAATATTAGTTATCTTAATTTTCTGTACAACACAACTCATATTCAACAAAGTCTAAAACACATAATTATTCTATTTCCATTAAAATTTGTCATTATATATATATATATATATATATATATATATATATATATATATATATATATATATATATATATATATATATATATATATATATATATATATATATATATATATATATATATATATATATATATATATATACACAGTACATGTACAGTATAACAGTAGAAATTATCTAATACATAAAGCATAGTACTGTATCTGTTTGTCTGTGTGGTTGTTCACTATGAATGGCATACAGCTTTGAAGATAGCTTAAATTTGGCATGGAGATGCACATACATCCCACAAGTGTCCAAAAAAGTTAAATTTGGGGAGTAAACCCGTTGTTGACCCCCTCTCCCAAAGGTGGAACCCTCTTAATAAAAACACATCTATTTTTTTCTGCTTCTGTGCTTTGCACTTCCAGAGGTTTTAAGAGAGTTGATAAATTTGGCATGCTTATATAAAAAGCCCTGAAAATGCTCAAGACCATCTAAATTGGAGGCTTACTCCCCCTAAAAGTGGGTCTCCCTGTACACAACCACATTTTCTGACAGCTGAAATTTGGTAGGGTTATTATTTGAATGTACAGTTAATTTTGGCAGAGGACAGACACAGGCTATGTGGCTACACCCATTCAGATTAACAGCACAGTACAGTACTTCATCAAAATTAGACAAATTTAGATCTAGGCATGAAATAGGTAAAGATTGGTTTGGAAATAGAGTAGCGGATGAGTGGAACAAGTTACCAAACATCATCTTTAACTCGAATACGCTGGACAGCTTCAAACATAGGTTGGATGGATATATGAGCGATAGAGGTTGGGTGTAAACGGGACTGCCCAGTATGGACCAACAGGCCCGTTGCAGTTTCCTCCAGTTATGTTCTTAAGTTAAAAAGTAAAGCTGAACAATGTCCTTTTAAACATAAATATTCACTTGGCTTCACATTACAGTATTACATGGACAGTATGTATCATTTGTGTAGGTAAAGATTCATTTTATGCCCAGCCAGGAATTCTATTACTAAAATAGTTTTTATTATGCTTTTCATTGTGATTTGAATGAATATGACCCTTTTTTTTGGGGGGGGGGGCAGGAGGGCTAATGCATATTTAAAGATATAACTCCTGTAACTCTAGGAACAACTATGAATCCTTCCAATGTGGAAGATAGCATCTGTGTGAGAAGGATGTACATTGGCTGACTGGCCAATTGGGGATACCCTTTATCGTTGGATTTGCGATATAAATGAAGGTCAAAATCTTTCAAAGCACATCAAAAATCATCGGAAAAACATTTCAACTTCCAAACAGGTGGATGATGTGACCGATCGCCCAAGATCAGTGGTGGAGGATAAAACTTTACCCTATTTTCTTCCTCTTCACCTGGATATACTGTATAGTGTTCATGAAGGCATTTCATTTCTGTTCTTCCACTTATTATTATAATACAGTATTATTGTAGCCCTGCCAGACTCAGCTGATGAGGAGGGAGGTTGTAAACAATGTGTTCGGATGCTGGAAGCCATGAAATTTGCGTCCCGCCATTGACAACTAAAATTATTATATATGTCCATATAAAATGAACTGATGTATCATGTATTAATATATTTGAATAAATTTAAAAATAATTTGCTTCAGTTAAATTTAAACGAAATTTGACTAGAAACAAAAATAGCTAAAGTCACAGCCACGAGTGGCTGGCCCCAGACGGGAACTGTTCAAGTTCATGTGATCGTGACAAAGATCATACTTACCTGTACAACCAGTGAACTAGACGAGGAAAACTAACAAATTCTCTATGTTTAACCAAGCAAGAAGATTTATATAACATTGGACACCACTTTTATGGCCTCACCTGTACTGAGGATTGGAGAACATCTATCTTGAACACGATTTATGGACATAATAATTACAACAGGAACCAGTTAGAGATTTATCACCAGCTTTATCTGATGAAAGGGAGGACATAATGTCTTTCGTTACTGGTAAGATTACTATTTTTTCCAAAGATAACTTTGTAGGTAGGAGTAAAACAGCTTGTTAAAATGATGGCAGTGGATATTTTGCCGTAACCGGTTGAGTTCCTACTAACGCTATTTTACCTTGTGCTCTGATAAGCTAATCGTCCATTACCGGCTATCAATGCGAGAACAATATGTGACATTTTCTATAACCGGTAAATGTTTACTTGAGTGCTGGAAGCGATTTCGCAAGCAAAACATTTTTTTCCTGCATGAATTTTGCTGCTGCTTTTTATTGGAGAGAGTTTTTTTCTGGGGAAAAACAAAACAACTAATGTTTTCCTTGTTTAACCTAACTTAACATAGCCTGACCTAACCCCTGGCCCTCCTCGACCCCCCCCCTGATTGGTTAGCATAATGTTGTCAGTATTTAACTTATCCTTATTTAACCTAAAATAACGTATTGCCTCCTAGTTGAAAACTCCAATTAAGATCTAAAAGTTGGGGATGGTTAAAACAGTCAGCTGTGTATTGTTCCCTCCCCAAAGTTACCTAACCTAACCTAACCAAACCTATTATTCTTTTCCCCCCTGGTTGAAATGGGGTTAGAAATACTTCAAATAAGGAGATCTAAAGGTTGGAGATGGTTAAAACAGTCGGCCGGGCATTGACCGAAACTGCAATAATACCAAAAGGTTAACTATGGAATTCTATATTGATTTGTAAATAGGAATTTTCATATTCAGGTTTTCCCTAGATTATCTCGTAAATAAAGATGCTTCGTACCGCCTGCACAGGGGGATGCCAACTGTGTTTATGTGGGCAGGAGACCAATCATTTCATAAACATAAATAACACTCTTCTCAGTAAAGGATAACCATGGAACTATATTAATTTGTATACAGTATAGGGATATAGAGCCCCAAAAAATTATAACGTTTTTATAAGAAATTTTTATTATTCAAGTTTTTTGATTATCGATTTAACTTAAAAATGCAATTTTGTTCACCCAAAGTGGGTAGGGCTTTGAAGTAGAGGAAAATTTATGGTAAAAACACGAAAAAAAGGACAAAAGCAAATGAAACAAAACCTAACCTAGCCTAACATGTTAGTTTTTTGTGTGTGTAATACTGTACATACGAACAGGTGCCCAGGTTAATCTCCCCTCCTGGCTGTCGACACCCCACCTCCCCCATCCTCTCAACTAGCAGTGGGATAAATTTAGTTTTAGGTTTTAAGTTTTCTCTTATAAAATGTCACAGACTTGACTTAAGAGAATATAAATTGCATTGCTGGAATCCTTGCAAGATAGCAATTAATTTGACTAAAAAGATCTTATAGTTTGCACAAGAGATAAAAATTTTAGTCTTAGCATAGTACATTAAGTACAAAATGAGTAAAGTAATATGCTGCTTAAAATTATGGCTTTTTCACAGGGAAAAGCGGTCAGGATTTTATGGTATTGAATGTTACAGAGTATTTCAATTAAATTCTTCTACCAGTACTCTTCACATACAGTGAAATACTTATTTTTACCTTATTAATAACCTTGATATTTAAGGATATATTAGAAATGTCTCATAGAGGCTCATTGTGGTATCAAATTCATCTTTTTAACACAAATAAAGAATATAACGAATGCTGTGAGGTAGGGAGGGAGAAGGGTCCACTGGGGGGGGGGTAAATGTGACTGTGCTGCCCCCTTCCCCCAAAGGGTGGCATCACTGTTCATCTACTGTACTGACTCATTCATGATACAATATTGTTTATTTGTTTTTCATTAATTCGTAAAGATATGTTACCATAATAATCTGTGCTTATTAATACCTGTACCTTTTATGTACTATAATATTCATACAGTATAATGTATATACCTCATAGGTAAGAAAAATGTCATTCAAGACATCTTCAGGTCATAAGACCCACTAATCCCCCACCCATCAATGGGTGACCTGACATTGCATCAGGTGAAGTTAGTAACTTGACCCAATAATCATCCACCCAACCTTTATCGCAAGTATTAAGACATGATTAGTTTTGTATTACAGTCATTTGAGCTAAAGACGACAGGATCTGCTGGTGAGTACAATACAGTGGGGTATGCTATAAGGAATCTAATTGGTTCTAGAACCTTGTTCGTTATAGCATTCGTTCGTAATAGGATTAATCCGTTCCAGACCCCCAAATACAACCACTTAACACTGAAAAATATAATATAAAATTGTAAAAATTGTAAAAAAGTGCATAAATATGCATCTAAACCCCTGAAATAACCAATATCATTAATACTTGTAATAAAAAAACAATAAATTAAAAAAAAAAAAATTTTAAATAATGTTCGTTGTAGGAGTTTCGTTCGTTATAGCATTCTCAGTTTTATAGGTAAAACCGTTCGTTATAGGAATATTCGTAGTAGGATCGTTCGTTAAGCATACCCCACTGTATATAATTATATATGTTTCAAGTGAACAAATTGTCAGTGGTTTTCATAAATAACTACAGCTTGCACAGCTCAAGGTTGAAGAAGCCCAAACTGCTCTGGTTAAGTAAGGAAGCCAACGAATTACAGTAATGTAAAAAAAAAATACCGTAACTGTACTGTGTCCCCTTAATGTTTTTGACCATATTATATTTTATTTTATTGTTTTTTGCACATATACATTATTATGTTTACAATATGAACAATATTGTACAGTGGTGTTTGCATAAATAACTACAGCTTGCCCCATAAGGGGTCACAGCTCAAGGTTGAAGAAGCCCAAACTGCTCTGGTTAAGTAAGGAAGCCAACGAATTACAGTAATGTAAAGAAAAAAATACCGTAACTGTACTGTGTCCCCTTAATGTTTTTGACCATATGATATTTTATTTTATTTATTTTTTGCACATTCTTTATGAAAGGATCTGTGTTTGTAACAGATTAAAAATTAAATGAAGATAAATTGAGTTGAAAAATAAGCATAAATCTGGCATCCTTCTCTCTCCCACTGGTTACGTGAAAATCTCCCAGACGTTCGTGCTTGTAAAATATATCTTTACTGGTTGATTTTACTGCAATTACGACCCCTAAGAGGAAAATTAGTGCAATGCTCATGGTGGTGAGAAAATGAAAAAAGTGGGAGGATGAATATTGTTAATGCAAGTTTGTTTATACGGTATTGCAAATAGTGAAGTGGTCTTAGTATATCAGCATCATTAATGTGAATAATTGTAGATTGGGATATCATAAATAGAGGTTTACATATATAGTAAATAATATTTTAGAAGCTTCATATTGCACTGCAGTTTGCTATTATTGTATATCTAGATTGTAATGTTTTATTTCAAAATTTCTTAACATTGAACATTTCAGATATACAGTTGATGATGCATGGTTTTGGTGACTGTCGTAGGCCACTGCCAGAGACAGCAGCAGTTATTGAGTCTATTGTTCACCAGCAGATGACCCTGTTTTTACATCTGGTTAGTACAGAATATGTATCCTAGTGTGCTTGTTTGTGTGTTTATTTCTGTATACAATACTGTGTTTAATATCCAGTGGATCATCAACCAGTGTCCTGTGACATCCCTACCACTAAAACACCCCCGAGGTGAGCATACCGTTGCCAAAAGGTTCTGACATATTTAACAAGAAGATTCTTCATCAAGGAAGACAAAACACTGTGCTACAGAGCTACACCAGGATTGAATCATTTCTCTGAACATATAGCCTGATGGTTGCTTTTAGAGCCAGTGAGTCTCTAGGGATGATGGGTCTAAACCCTGAGATAGACTCATACATTCTGAACTCATTCAGCCATAAATTTGACTTCATGCTTCTACCATCTTTATTTCCTACATATACCAAGCCCTGACTGCACCATACAAGAGATAATTGTACTTAATGAGTCATAGCAAGCTTGCTATTTGAGATAAAATGGTGGGATATGTTGCACTAGTATTGTAAATAATTTATCTACAAACAGTTTTAAATGAGTAATTATGATAAAATAATTTATTTCTATACATTTTAGAACAGCATTTTTGTTTACACTTAATGAAATTGTGTGTACATCATATTATACCTTCGTTATTTCATGTGATTGCAATATGAACCTTATTCCGTTATAAAACATACATATTCAAATAAAAAAAATATACAGGTTGTACCTCTCTAGTCCTGCAACCTCGGGACCTGACCGGTGCCGGACCATGGAAATTGCCGGACCATGGAAATTCACCCTTTTCCTGGATACATAGTGACTTGTGCTTATGCCTGGAAGCACTAACACCACTTTCTCTGCATCATGGTCTCTTTGAAGACATACTGAAGGGTTAAATGTCGTATAGTAGCTTCTCAAATTTCGCGAGTTTTTAATTCTTAACGTATTTTATTGGAACACACAAAAAAATAAATAAATAAAAATTTTGACGGCAGAAACTTGAATTTCGACGGGTTTGAACGGCCCGCCAACGTGCAGACGACGTGCATAATCGTGTAAACAGCGTCATTTCTCTTATGTACAAAAGATTCATGATTGTTTATTACTGAATGTCTTTCTTATTGAATTAATGTATATGTGTGCAAAATGAGCAATACAATTCATTAATAATACGTAGAATATTAAAACACACGAGGAAATGACACAGCATTGTTTTCGTTGATTACAAAACCAGTGACTGACTGGTTCTACATATAAAACTGAAGAAAATAAGACCTTGGTTGTAGCTGTAGTAAAATTAATATGGTTGTTTTAAGTAATGTTATTTAATGTTAATAAATGGAACAATAGAAGTAGCTAACGATAATGGTAAAGAAAAAAGAGAGAGATCGCATATGTAAGAATATGAAAGCAACACTTATTTACTGTTCATATATATTTTAATTAATATTTCTGAATTTGTTTTTATTGAATTAATGTACGTGTGTGCAAAATTAACAATACAATTTATTAATAATACGTGGAATATTAGAGGAGACGAGACGGCTGCCGGCATTGTTTATGTTAGAGCTTACGAAACCAGTGACTGATTGGTTCTACATATGAGCTCTTTCAAGAGAAGACTTGACCAACACTGGAGCGGGTTCAGGTACATTCAGGAGCCGGTGCATGCCCAGTATTTGCCAACAGTGCGTGACAGAGACGTGACCGATCGCCCGGGCGGCTAGCGAGCCGATCTTTTGGTGAAGAATATAAATGAAAAGAGACGTGACCGATCGCCCAAGCGGCTAACAAGCCGATCAGTGGCGAAGAGGATAAAAGTAAAAGTGAAGAAAATAAGACCCTGAGTTTAGCTGTAGTAAAATTAATGTAAAAAAATGAATATGGTTGCTTGAAGTACCTGTAATGTTATTTAATGTTAATAAATGGAACAATATAAGTAGCTAACCATTAATGGTAAAAAAAAAGTGAGACTGCTCGTATGTAAGTGCGCACATGTGAAAATATATCGTCGTTATTCTACATAAGAATATGAAAGCAACACTTATTTACTGCTCATATGTATTGAAGGGTTAAATGTTGTACTCTGTATAGACAAGCAGAGAGAGAGAGAGAGAGAGCAGCCAAACTGTCGGATGTAAACAAACCTTAATTTCCTGCGGCTTTTTTTTTTTTAAGGGATTAGCCCACCCGGGAATAGGTCACTGACCCACATTAGGGCCTGAGGGGCAAAAATTTAATACTTTTGTAATAATAATAATAATTCAGGTAAGTAAAAAAAAAAAAAAGCAGCTGCCTATCTACCTATTGGACAAACTAAAATCGTTCCGAACCACGGGAGTTTCCGGACCACAGAATGCCAGACTAGAGAGGTACAACCTGTATAAGAATAGTTGTGAAAATTTTTATATTTTGCTGGGTATAATAACAAATTAAATGAATAAGTGTGTGTGTAAGCATTACTTACCACAAACCATCTGGTTTGCTTTATGGCAAACTTCTCCACAATTTTGCTGATGTCTAATTCCTTTGAGCAGTGAACCGGTATCAAAGCTGGCACCTGTGATTACCTACCCTAATTACCACTTCTCCCCTCCCTATCCTCCATAATCTGGTGTCATTGTCAGTGGCAGTAACCCCTGTCATGTGAGGTCATAACTTCTCTCTCCTCACCTCACACTTGTAGGGCATGTAGAGATTTGAAGGCTGCACCTATGATCACCTACCCTAACTTCCACCCCTCCCTTATGATCTGATATCAATTGCAGTAACCCTTGTCATGTGAGGTCACCTTACAGTATATCTACAGTCTCTCTCTCAGCTTGGCCATTCCTTTGAAATGTTGATACTTAACACCATCTGAGGTGATTTAGTCTAATGTGATGCCAGGTGAGTCTTACGAGGATGGGGGGGTGGGGGGTGACTGAGCCTCCCCCTGGATCAGCCACTGCCTTAGGGATGCAACTCTATGTAAGATATGAAAGTTTACTGTAATACACAAAAATATTTTTGATGTATTCGTAGAACATGACTGATGACAAAGGTGTTTAACATAAGAGAAAGGAAACTGGAGTTGTATCACTTTCAGTTATATTTGTAAAAATTGATAGATGATATTGATAAATAATATAAATGTGTTTATGTGTTTGCGCTAATATGTTTTTTTTATATGTATTCACTTTATTACATTTTTAGGCAACAGAAGTTTCTGAGCAAAGAGGAACAAGAATTGTGGGGCCAGAAGACATTCTTTTTGTAATGCGTAGAGATCCACTGAAACTTCAGCGTCTCGTTCACTACATGGGTAAGTTACTCGGCTTATTGTTTAATTTTATTTCTGCCGTACTGAGATGTTGTTGATAAATTGATTACTGACATTCTATGACAGTACTAGTCTGCAAAGATAGGCTGTAAGTGAAAATTGTTTGTCTGACTCTTGAATTAAAGATTTTAAATGCTGGACTCTGCCCTTCAGGCAGACATATGAAGGTTAGGTTTACATATGATGACTTGATTATTCTATAGTGTTGTAAGTCTTCTTACTAGATGGTCAATTAATGGAACATTTTATGCATCATTTGTCTCATACATTCTCCTTGAGACTCATTTGACTTTCATTTGATCTTTGGGTTCAAGAATTTTGTTCTTGCAGTATCCTTTTGAAGTTTTCATTGGTTCTTCAAGACCACATTGGGCTGGAATACTCCAAATTTTGTTTTTGTTATTTCCTTAAAATCATTAAAAGTTGTTGTATGTATTAGGAAGCACTAGTTCATTTTTATGAGCCTTTTTATAGCCTCATTCAGTCCAAATAGAATCAGATAGAGATAGTTTACCCATTAAGTGCAGACCCATTAAGTGCAGGCTATTCCAAGACACTGGCAGTTGTCACTAATCATATAAATTGCACAACTCTTTTCATCTCAACCTTCTCTCCTAGAAAGGAGTCTGTTATGTGAAAATCATTTTAATGATAGGTATATATACCAGTATATTGCAGTGAAGAAATGTCTAACCCAAATTATGGCACAAGGAAGTTCTTAAGATTAGACATTGTGGTCTAAGGTATAATGTGCTCTTCTTTGCCTGTTTGCTGTCAGTAGATTATTACAGTTAACTTTCTCCATTCCAGTTTTCAGTAGGCTTAGAATATCACGTTATTTTAGCATCCAGTAGCTTGCATATAGAAGACTGAAGTATGAAATCCCATGTTATAACCAAGGGAGGAGATGAGTGATCTAGCTTCCCAGTTGCCTCCATAAATGAGATTCAAAATCAACAAGAAAATATGATGGACTAAAACTTGAGTCTCCTGTTTATAGATGTGAGGTTTAAGATGCGTAGTAATACAGTAATCCTTGGATTATAGCCTAGTGATCTTGGTGCCTCATTAGCTTACAAAGCAAGTGTTGTCCTAGCAATTTGGTCACTGCTTCAGTATTGATTTCATGGGTGATGGCCAATGAGCAGTTGTTGAATTGAATTGAATTGAATTGTAACAGTTTATTTAGCCAGAAAACACAGATACAGAATGGATAATAATAACAATATTAACATGGCTGAGCCAGTTGAGAACCTGAGCTCTCTTTGAGGCACCTGATATATGCTATACATTTATCTCAAGGAAGTATTATGTAACATATAGTATCATCTGGAATAGTACAATAGCATGGTAGTAATAAGTACATCTCATAGTGTTACCACGGTTATTTATTTACATGATAATTTCCGATAAAACGGTTTTGATGGTACAATAAAAGCAGGTACTGTAAATATAGTAAGTGTTAAAAGAATTATTAATACTTTGACAATAGATATTTTTTTAGAGATAATTTAAAGGAAGGGAGCGTATCTTTGCTCGGATGTGTGGGGGTAAGTTGTTCCACACCTTCACACCATGATATTTTATGGAGGTCTGGGACTGAGAGGAGCGCATGGGGGGTGGTCTTAGTAGCTCTGGGTGCCTTAAGTTGTATCTCTGATTATTCCAGAACTGGAAGTAATTATTGTCAAGCAAGTGATTGATAGATTAGTAAACAAAGAGGGCACAGCAGTAAGTGTTAATATCCTCGAATTTTAAAAATTTCAATATAGCAAATTTTTCGTTTGTGTGATCTGTTTTTTTCAAGTAGGTCATTGTCCGTACAACTCTCTTTTGTGCAGTAACACATCTGATTGGACAGCATAGCCTACTGCAGGACATGTCAAATTCTTTGGCTGGGGCAAGCTGGGCAGAGAATTGTTCTCTTTCTCGTATCACAAGCCCATCATTGCTTCCCTTGGGCTATAAAATGAAATTTCATACCTCATTTTTTAATAGATCACTATGCCAATGAGAGTTCAAAATGTGAATGAAAAAATAAGTGAAATTCTGATTTGTACATTTTAATTCCAGGAGTTCGTGATCTTTATCAAAGAACTCGAACAAGCACTTCAGGTTCATCATCAAGTGACTTACAAGATTTAAATGCAGAAGCAGGTGGGGAAGTGTCTCGAAAGAAACTGTGCATTAATTTTCTGCAAACTATTGACCAGACTGGGCAGTATGAACCTATATACTCATCATCTCTTTATGACCCAGTGAAAGCTGAAAGAACCATTCGTCTGGATGCCATGACTCAGGTGAGTGATTCATTGCCTATCCAAAATTATTTTGGTGTTGACTGAGCTTTTGTTGCATGATTGTCCCTGATTAATAGAGGACCTCAAAATAAAAATCCGTGAATTATTTGGGTGTACAATACTGTAATTAGTTTGCAGCCATCATTAGCTGAGGCCAGTGTTGACTGCAGTAAGGTGACTGTGCAAGGAAACTAGGTGCTTATTTATGCATATTCAAAAACAAACTGTATTCTCTGTACGTACAGTAATTATAATTTTATTAGATCAGGACATCTTTTTTTTATATATGTACTGTAATTTATATAGATTTGAGTAAACTAAATAGTGCTTTAAATGTCATGCCAGAGATACAAGTTATAATACAGGGTAAAAATAATTTATTTGTTAGTAAACTTGCTATATGTTTGCTTCTCTTAAACTGAAATTACATATAATATTTATTAAATAAGTGTTAATTGCATTTTTATTACAACTAAACATCAATTAGAGAGTTTGAAGTAAATTTAACAAAGATAATTGAATTTCAGGGAATGTCATGCCAAAGATACAAAGAGTACTGTGAGGCAAGAAAAGCCTCTTTTTGCCCTCGTCTTCGGGTAAATAAGTTCAGAGATTGGCTCCTTGGAGAGGAAAGCAATGAAGTAAAACTAACTCAGGTATGTATTTGGCATATAAACTTCACTCTTTAAAAAACACTTCATGTTATACATGCACATCGAATTTCATAGCTTCTGATACAGTACAACTATGTCACTGTTTACACAGGAAGGTTTTTATTAGTTACAAATGTTGTGGCCAATGTTTCTTAATTTCCATTTTACAGAATTGGCTGCTAAACATGAACAATATATCTGTACATTATTATTATTATTGTAAGGCAAACATACGAATATTTTCACAGGGAGAAGAATTGCCCAGGTATTATTCAAAACTACTAATTGTGTTTATATACTTTAGTACATTTTAACAGTTGACTTGACATTATAGTAATCTCCCCATTAGCTGGAATCTCTGATCACCGGAACTCTTCAATAGCTGGAATTGAAATCGGGCTGGAAAAATTCTGGGAAAACTCTCTTCATTCCGGGTCTGCGAACGAGTTTCCGAGGATGAAAATCGGGCCCATTTTTCTGAAAAAAGTTTGATAAGGTTCTGAGAAAATCTCTCTAAACCTCTCCCTTTTGAGCCTAGGAATGAATTTCCAGGAGTGCCCAGAGTTTGCATCATAACAGGTCCCCACATGACAAGCGCATGGGTAGCCGAACTGCTTTGATTGCTTAGTTCATACTCTGCTGTCATTGTAGAAGGTAGATCCTTCACTAGCTGCTGATTTTGCATACGATATGTTTTCTGCAGTAGGAATACCGCAGTTATCACAAGGGATGCGATCCTAAAAGTCGTTGTGATTAATGAAACTGTAAATATTGGAGCAATTTTTCCCATAAGAATTACAGTAATGTAAATAGGGAGGAATACGTTCCTAGCCAGCAACTTTCACCACATATTTTTCTATATACACTCCTCATTATCCAAGGCTATTAGGGACCTGGGTCGCGTGTATATTGTAGTATATTGTGAGGAATAGATATAAACTATACTTATAAATAGAATAAAAGAAAATAATACTGCATTGCCATTTGGCATTGAAAATTTGTGCAAACACTTCATTCTCTCTCTCTCATATTTCCCACCTCTGCTGACGGTTGTGTAAATATTTTAGTGTGATTCTGATCTTTTAAAATGTTGTTTTTGCCTAAGGTAGTATTACTGATAAGTAATTTGTCTTAGTATGCTGTATTGTGGATAAAAATAAGTAAGTATTAAATGCATCCTCCGAAAGCGTTAATTGGCTACCAGAGTTTAACAGTTAATTCATGTATAATACTTCTGATAAACTTCCTATGTACTTTTGATTGAAATAATGAATGTACAGGTACTCCCCAACTTACAACGGGGTTAGGGACCGACATCCAGGTCGTAAGTCGGAAATGCTTAAATAACACATAGAAAATCGAAAATGGGGGTCTCTTTTTCTTCTCAGCTCCATAAAACACTCACTTTTAAGCTTGCCAGCCATTTTAAAGTGAATTACAGATGAAAATTTTGTCTGTACCGACTTTGGGACTCGAAAATACGTAATTTGACCAAATTTTGGTACGACTGAGGCAGGTTGTAAGTGCGGGTGGACGTAAGTCGAGTAGGTCGGCAGTCAGGGAGTACCTGTGTGTATCTTTATATAATTTAGCTAAATATCTTTATCGTCAGAAACGGTCATCCCAACAATTATGAATGAACTCATTTAGAAATACAGTCACCCCTCACTTTACGCGGTTAATGTAACCCACAGGGTACCGCGGAAAGTGAGAAACGCGTAAAGTGAATAACATAACATATGGGATTAAATGAAATAGAGACCAGCTGACCCCCAAACTCCACTTTTTCCAACACAATACCTATGTTCTAGTAAAAATAACATCTTAATTTTATGATGGTACATGCACACAATTAATACTTAAGAGAAATAGAGAAATACAGTCGCCAAGTTAATGTCCATTCAAATAATGGACTCGACTCCCTCCCCCTCTTCTCACACTACACTCGCTGGCTCTTCCCTCTCTGAGAAATTTTTGGGGGAAAACCAGGTATAGTAATAAATAATACCTCAAACTAAAGTTAGGATAATATAATTGACATTGTTGGATTCCTTGTAAGACCAGGAATATTTTGAATATAAATGTCATATATTTTGCACAAAAGATAACATATTTACTTAGAGTAAACATTATATCTAAAATTTGTATGTCTAATGCAAAATCTATGATGTTTATATTCAATATGATCATCAAATTGTAAGAATTCCAGCAATGTAAATTATATTCTGGCCGGATAATTTGTATGAATTTTATGAGCTAAATAAAAAAATTATACATCACCCGCGTAAAGGGGTACACCCACCGCGGAATGTGAGCATCCTGGGTTCTGGCAGGGCACCGTGTAAACATGGAATGTGGGACCGCGTAAAGTGAGGGTTGACTGTACATCAATACTTCAGGACGAAATCGAACAGGTTTGAAACCGACAATCAGCTGCAAGTCTTGAGAAGGGGACGGGGCATCTTTTCTCAGCTGAGAAGAAACGCACTATAATAACCAACATAAATCTTATCTTAGCCATTGCATAGTGGTAATTAGTGCTCCTAATTTTTTATCACTTTAAAACTGATCGATTATATATCAATCAATCGTGTTACGGTCAACGCCTGTATATAAATTTCAATGCACATTTTGAACTGGCAGAAAGTTTATAAAATTATTTGTCCCGTTCATCAGACAAGATAAAAGAAAGCCTTGCAGTCAAACAGCAGTCAGTAGCTATGAAAATTCATAAATTTGTCATACTTTCTAGTATGACAAGGGAGGGCCATGCTAAACTTCCCCTAGACAACATAGCTACTGTTCAACTTAAATCAGATAATTAATTTTATGAACTTATATCTAGGATTGAGCAAGCAAGCAAGTCTGTCTTCAACCCCAAGTTCAGGGTACTGTCTTATGGCTGGAATTTAAAGACTGAAAACATTTAAAGATTAAGTAAACCTTCTCTTTTGTACCAGGGTACCTTATTGAGAATTCTGTACTGTACTGTATTAAACTATAACTAATAGCATTACATAGTTCAGCAAAGTATATTAATTACTTATGAGAGGGGCCAATTCACTTCGCAATTTGTGTTGAATATGTCAGGAATATGTGAGATATTAAACATCTAGCCATTACCATTTACAGTATGCTAGGTAGTAACATGGTGGTTGGTAAGTAATCCAGAGAAGTAATCTTAATTCTCTGTGCTGATAAAAGCCAATTTGACATTTCTTATTTTTTTTTTTACACCATACAGTATAATTGTATATCACTGAGTAAAACCCATACCATTACGGTATGTAATCTTTTCGCTCACATTTCAGTTAGTTCTGGAAATGCTCAACCGTCTTGCTTATGAAACTGTTGCTCAGATAGTGGATCTTGCATTATTAGTTAAGAGAGATGGCACATCACACACCTCAGACCTAACCCGCTTCCGGACTCCTATTGCCTTCAACCCTGATTATCCCTGTGTGTTCATACATCAGGTAGGTATTGGAGGAGAGTATAGTGCATGGATTTAGTCTTCTTTAGAAATACTTGTAATACCAATTACTATCATGTCATAAATTTCCGTGAGATCACAGTACTGTATTTGTCATGTATGATGAATTAAGTTAATGTTAGCATAGTAGTGATAACATAGTATATGAGGTCTGTCCGGAAAGTATCCAGCCATTTACTATTGAAAAAAATATTGCATACCTAGGACAATGGCGCCTTAGTCCCCTTCAAGGTACTCCCCTTGGGACCTCACACACTTCACCCAGCGTCCCTTCCACTTTTCAAAACAGTGTGCAAAGTTCTCTTTTGGGATCGCCATCAGTTGCCTCATCGCATTTTCCTTAATCTCGTCCAGGCCAAACAATAACGAAGGAGTACTACATCAAAGTTTTTCGCCGGCTGAGGGATGCAGTAAGAAGAAACGACCGCAGCTGTGGGCAAGTGGTGACTGGCAGCTTCATCATGACAACGCACCTGCCCATTCTTCACGTCTCGTGCAGGGTTTTTTGGCAAAACATCACATCACCCAGGTCTCTCAGCCCCCCTACAGCCCAGATTTGGCTCCCTGTGACTTCTGGCTTTTCTCAAAGCTAAAATCGCCGTTGAAAGGGAGGAGATTTCAGACCGTAGACGAGATTAAGGAGAATGCGATGAGGCAGCTGATGAAGATCCCGAAAGAGGACTTTGCAGACTGTTTTGAAAAGTGGAAGGGACGCTGGGAGAAGTGTGTGAGGTCCCAAGGGGAGTACCTTGAAGGGGACTAAGGTGCCATTGTCCTAGTTAAGCAATATTTTTTTTTAATAGTAAATGGCTGGATACTTTCCGGACAGACCTCGTATATAAGGTACTTACGGTAAACAGTATCCTGTAATACTATAAGTTTTGTTATTGCACTAGAAGAGATTTTAATTCCTCAGTTTCCATAATCTTTTATTATTCTAGAGTGGTTCACTCCAAGAGATTGGGTCTGGGGATGATCATGGCATAGGAATGGATCCCATAACCCCTGCAGAAGTACGAGAAGCTGTTAGACGCTACTGGGCCAATAACTCCCCTCTTTCATCTTACTCTAAAGTCAGGTCATCTATCTACTCCACACTACTTGCTGCATAAAGGTAAGTCACTTATATGGTCATCATTGTTCATTTATTATGAATTTTGAATAATAAGTATTTGTTAGTGATTCAGATGGTGTAACCTCTTGTACTTGGTGTAACCTCTTTATGTATGTATTTAAGAATTTATTTAGCTACATTACCAAATGTTTAAAACAAACATTGAATTGCACATCAGATTAGTTGTCACACACATGCAATAGTCATGAAGTGTTAGCACTGTACAGTATAAAAGAAAACAAAAGTTAAGTTGATGGTAACTTCCATAAGGTAAGTACAGGTAACTCGCGTTTTATTTAAGTGTTTTTGGAATAACGCGATTGTTCAATTAATACCAAAAGCTAATTTACGCTCACTTATTTTTTAAATAACGCGGTCAAGACAGTTTAAATTTGCCGCACGTATTCGCCTGGCAGTGGAGTCCCGTGTGATGCCTGGTGAGGTGCTTGTAAGTTATTACTCTAAAGTCGCAGTCATATCAACATCAACGATTTTAATATTATTATTAATAACAATAATTATTATAATAATAATGTAATAATAAAGGTTATTACTACTAATGATGAAGATAATGATGATAATGAAGTATTCTGTACAGCAACTGTAACGACGTCCAGCAAGCTTCCAGCGTATTGCTTTCTCAGTTCACACCAGCACTTCTTTTTCTCTGTGTGTTTTTCACGTACCTTTTTAGGGTTAAACGCTGTTTTCCCCATTGAGCATGTCTGGAAAACGTCCATCTGCCTCCTCTGGGGCACCTAAAGCTAAAGAGGCACGAAAAACAATCGCTATGGACGTGAAATTAAATGTGATCACCCGCCTTCAGAGAGGAGAGCGTGTGTCGGAGGTTGGCGGCGTGCTTGGTGACTTGACAGGCTCAACTGCTTGGCCTGGCAATCACTGGGGACGGGCAGAACCTACCATGCAATTCACATGGCTTGCACGTGTTATGCCCTCCTATAAGGTGATGTACCAAAGTTAAACAGTATTTTATTAATTTTTTTCATGTGTTAGGTAATAATTTCATGTGCGAGAATAGTTGTGTACTACAAGTATTTATTATTAGTTAGGGTAGGATTTGTTCTTGTTTATGAACCGATTTTGTGTTTTGGGGGCATGATATTGAGATATTTTTGTCATTGGGGAAGCAAAACCTATTTTTCCACATTTTTCTATTTGAGATACAAAATTCACTTAAATTTTTTTTTTTTTTTTATATACAGGTATAACGTTACCCATTTGTATCTCGAGGGATACTTGTACTTAAAATAAAAGTAAAAAGAATCCAGAATTCAAACTATTAAAGTAAAGGAAAATTTTAAATAAAATCGAATACTGTAATGTAAAGTAATGAAGTGTACTACTGCTACTTCATTATGTACCAGCAGTGACCAAAAATAGTTTCAAGGAATTTAAGTAAACTTTTGGATATACCTTTATTTTCAGAAACCAAACATGCATGCACAAGAAAGGTGGACCAAATCTGCCTGGATGTTTCAAGACAGAAACCGGCAATATTCCTCTGAAGGCATTCATACTTAGTATTATTTGTCATCACATGAAATGTTTTACTATGACTTTCCTATGATGTTAGCTTGAATATGAATCTTTTCTAGACAAAGTTTGTGTTTTCTTATTTTATAATTTCTTGATGAAAATGTCACAGTCTAACAGTGTAGCAGGCAAATTTATAAATTATTAAGATTGTCAGGAAGATTTATTGATTTACCGAATGTAGATTTTTCAGTTATTTTAAAATTCAAAGATCACATTAATGATTTCAGGCTCCAGTACTTGCAGAACTAAATACAACAGAAATGCATATTTATAATATCAAATTGCTGTCACAATTGTGTGAGGTCTTTGTGTGTGGCAGTGAAAGATTAACATGTAACTGATGATTTATTGGTGGGGGGAGGGGGGCTATGATATGATCATGACACTCCATTTCCTTCAGTACAGGTATAGCACCTGTTCACACTGATGACCCATTTCTTGTAAACCAGTCTTTGGGCCTCATATCATCATTATTACTATTTTACAACTATTTTCCATGTTTTCATGGGTTAGCTATGATTACCTGATGGTATGGGTCCCAGTTACCATTAGGCAATTTTGAAACAAGTTTTACAGCTGGATGCTCCATCCTATTGTCAACCCATTTTTACACAGTGGGAACTGGGCATTTTATGTCGAACTTCCAAGTGCCCTCTCAGCTGGCAAGGCAGGGTCGCTATTAGTTGAGGTGATAAAAAATTACACACCTACCTGTCCCATATAATTTTTATTTATTTCCACATTAATTTTCCATACTTCTCATACTGTCTTGGTAGTCATCTTGTACTCCATTTATTTTTAAAAATAAAGTAATGTAAAGTACAGTACAGTATATGCATCATATATATATATATATATATATATATATATATATATATATATATATATATATATATATATATATATATATATATATATATATATATATATATATATATATATATATATATATATATATATTCCCCAGGTTACGAACAGGTGCCGTTCCTGAGGATGTTCTTAAGTAAAAAATATGTCAGTCAAAACATTCTATGTTCATACCATACTTACAGAACAGAGTAAAAACTCCCACTATATCATAGCGTAAGTCCTTATATACATCAAAATCACTTAAGTTAAGAGAAAAGAAGAAATAGATTGACAAAATACAATGGTTAATTGGGACTGGAAAAACACCTCTGATAACGAATCCTCTTAAAGCAGGGAATTAATCCCATAAGAAATAATGGAAATAGGTCAAATTGGGACCATGACATTATACACAACACTCAAAAAGATTTTTATGATATCTTTTAACAATTAGTTACCTTAGAAACATTTGTTAAACATTTGGTAACACATTAATTTAAGAAATTTTATAAATATAAGTTATTTAACGTCCTTAAAGTTCAGTGGGGTCAGTGTGTGGAGGCAACTTAGGTTGTGCCAGCGACCCGGTGGTCCACAGCAACCGTTGCTGGTGCACACTCACTCCAGTGGTTCAGGTTCATCGAGACAAAATACTTATTATCATGTTTTAAAAATAAATAATGTTAACCTAATTAAATATTTTTATTTACTTAGCTTCAAAAGAAAGATGTGAATGCTTGATGCCATGAAGAGGATGAAATTTCAAATGCTTCAGCTAAAAATCCATAGATTTTATCGGGAATTTTAAATCCGTAGATTTTATACCAAGTTATCAGAGTTTTGAATGGAATCCACTTAAATGCAGGGACTTTTTACGTGGATGGCCACAAAAAGTTGACCACATAACTGCGAAATGCAGATAGTGAATGCCCTTATAATGAGGACCTCCTGTATAGAGTGTTACTTATTTAAGAATTTTCTAGAATGTATTATATCATTTTGTTATGATTTACTTACGTATTGTAAGCCAAAATCATTTTAGAACTCTCCAGGTGTCTGGATATCGGTAGAATGCTCTAGGCGTCTGACAAGATGTATATTATAAACACTTGCGAGCTACACAAAAAATCACCCCCCCCCCCCCAAAAAAAAAATTATTGATAAAATAGATATGTTACATATTAAAATAGCCTTACTTATACTCGTGTTGCTGGTGAAAATTCCAATAGTACATGAAACCTGAGTATTTTATTTTATTCCATCTTATGGAATGATTACTGTGCCTTACATATTTAAATCATTACCTGTACAATGTTGTCTTAGCATTCTGAATCAGATGTCAAAGGATTTTTTCCCCAATGTACTATAAGTAATTTTTTTTTTTTGTGACAGGAATAATATTTGTTCTGATAAGAATATCATAACACTGAACAGCGATAAGCAAATATTATGCAGTGCTACATGAAAGTACTTTTTCTTTAAAATTCTATAGGACATATTGATTTTTGTAACTATCTAGTATAGCACAAAGTTGTCAACTGTGAATGGCATCTTAGGATTTCTTTATTTGTTAATATATAGTATACCCACATAAACTCAGAAATCCTGGGATCTTGGGACAATGACTAGTTTTGTCTCAGAATCCCAGAACAGAGAAAAATATCTTAAATGAGAAACCATTGATAGTGGGTTTAGGGTCACATCAGCCCTGAGGAGCAAAAATGTTAAAATTGTCATGACTACATACACTACAATATTAACCTCATCTGCAGATATTTGCATTCAACTTTTACTTTTTTTACTTTTATCCTCTTCGCCACTGATCGGCTTGTTAGCCGCTTGGGCGATCGGTCACGTCTCTTTTCCTTTATATTCTTCACCAAAAGGTCGGCTCGCTAGCCGCCCGGGCGATCGGTCACGTCTCTGTCACGCACTGTTGGCAAATACTGGGCATGCACCGGCTCCTGAATGTACCTGAACCCGCTCCAGTGTTGGTCAAGTCTTCTCTTGAAAGAGCTCACACTCGGTGCCGTCACAACACTCTGGTAGATTGTTCCAAGAGTTTACAACCCTCACTCCGAAAAAGTTTGCCCTCACGGTTTTCTGGACTTGCGGCTTCTTCAATCTTGAGCTGTGACCCCTTGTGGGGCGAGCGTCCGCCAGCTCCAAGTAAGGACACTCAACTGAGTAGTGCCCCCTGAGATGCTTATAAACCTCAACTAGGTCCCCCCTTGCCCGTCTGTAGTATAAGCTAGGCAAGTTCAGGCGCTCCAATCTCTCAGGGTAGCTGAGATGCCGAAGTGCAGGCACCAGTTTGGTGGCCCTCCTTTGAACATTTTCAACCAACTGACAGTCCCTAGCATATCTCGGGGACCAGATGGGGTGACAGTACTCCAGATGGGGAAGCACTTCACTCCTGAAGATCGTCACGAGGGACGGACCGTCTAGATATCTGAACGACCTTCTTATAAGACCCAATAATTTATTTGCCTGATTTACCTTCTTCTCACAATGGCCCGAGAACTTCAGCTCATTGTCAACATACACACCTAGGTCCTTCTCACACACAGTCTCAACTAGTACATTTTCTTCATCCCGTTGGGACATATGGTACGCCTCCTTACCGTTGGTACGCCCCAGGTGCATCCTCTTACACTTCGTGACATTGAATCTCAGCAGCCATTCCTTCGACCATTCCTGGAGCCCACAGAGGTCCTTCTGCAGCTCTTCACAGTCCGCTTGGTTCTTAATTTCCCGAAATAACTTGGCGTCATCGGCAAACATTTGTATGGAGGAGTGTACAACGTCAGGCATATCATTTATGAAACAAACAAACAACAGCGGGCCCAATACACTACCCTGCGGTACCCCACTTGTTACAGGTACAGATGACGATTTCGTGCCATTAATCACCACACATTGCTTGCGGTCATGTAGAAAGTCTTCTATCCACGCTAGGACATTTCCCCGAATTCCGTACCCTTCCAGTTTGATTTTCAGCCTTTCGTGGGGTACACTGTCGAAAGCCTTGGCAAAATCTAGGTAAATATTGTCGATATTACCACCCCGTTCTAGAATATGGGTCCAAATATCCAATACCTTCAGCAATTGTGTCAAGCAAGAGCGCCCCGGCATAAAACCGTGTTGGCAATCTTTTACAAGGTTGTTTCGTAGTAGATGTTCCATCGCTGCATCTCTGATAATACTCTCAAGTACTTTACATATTATGCTGGTCAGGCTCACCGGTCTATAGTTGTTCGTGGAGTGCCTATCGCCCTTCTTGAAGATAGGACTCACATAAGCCACTTTCCATTCACTGGGGACCATTTGTTCATCCAGGCATTTACAAAACAGAATCTTCAGGGGCTCTGCAAGCTCGTTGCACAGCTCCCTTAGCACTCTAGGATGCACCATGTCAGGTCCAGGACTCTTATGGACCTTTAGCCTGGACAGTTTATTTCTAATACCCTCTTCTGTGAACACAATGTGGGTCAGTGCTGTGTCGAACCGTCTGTCCTCAAACGCAGGAAGGTTAGTTGCATTCAAGGTGCTTTGATTTGTGCCTTAGAAAATCTCTAGTATGAGAGATGAGGGAACATACAGTATCTGGTTACATTAGTTTCACTATAATTCAACACTATTTTACTTATTTCTTTTTTACGAAGGCATCAAGCATGTGTATCTACATTGTCATGTACTGGCCGAATTTTTCACACCACATAACATCTGGCTGGTGTGGGGGTGGGGGGGCTGTGGTATTGTACTTAGGTAATAGGCAGCCTGGGAAGATATTGGAAGTATAATGTGTTGTCTAATGGTGGACCCTGCTGCTATAGGGCATCACAAAAATTGTGACCAAGTCCCAGGTTGCTGATCTGACTTTCTGCCTCATTTACACACAATTGCGGGGTCTAAATCATTTCTCCTATTATTGACAACACAACATACATATATTGTTTCTCACTTTTGATCTTTTTTTTTCATTTTTGTATTTATTATTATTATTATTTTTACCGGTATTATTACTATTATTATTATTATTATTATTATTATTATTATTATTATTATTATTATTATTATTTTTATCGGTACAGGTTGTACCTCTCTAGTCCGGCATTCTGTGGTCCGGAAACTCCCGTGGTCCGGAACGATTTTAGTTTGTCCAATAGGTAGATAGGCAACTTTTTTTTTTCTTTTTCTTTTTTTACTTATCTGAATTATTATTATTATTACAGGAGTATTAAATTTTTGCCCCTCAGGCTCCAATGTGGGTCAGTGACCTATGCCCGGGTGGGCTAATCCTCGTAAAAAAAACAACAACAAAGCCGCGGGAAATTAAGGTTTGTTTACATCCGGCAGTTCGGCTGCTCTCTCTCTCTCTCTCTCTGCTTGTCTATACAGAGTACAACATTTAACCCTTCAATATATATGAGCAGTAAATAAGTGTTGCTTTCATATTCTTATGTAGAGTAATGACGATATATTTTCACATGTGCGCACTTACATACGAGCAGTCTCACTTTTTTTTTTACCATTAATGGTTAGCTACTTATATTGTTCCATTTATTAACATTAAATAACATTACAGGTACTTCAAGCAACCATATTCATTTTTTACATTAATTTTACTACAGCTAAACTCAGGGTCTTATTTTCTTCAGTTTTATATGTAGAACCAATCAGTCACTGGTTTCGTAAGCTTTAACATAAACAATGCCGGCAGCCGTCTCGTCTCCTCTAATATTCCACGTATTATTAATAAATTGTATTGTTAATTTTGCACACACGTACATTGATTCAATAAAAACAAATTCAGAAACATTAATTAAAATATATATGAACAGTAAATAAGTGTTGCTTTCATATTCTTATGTAAAGTAATGACGATATGTTTTCACGTGTGCGCATGCGCACTTACAGTACATATGCGATCTCTCTTTTTCTTTACCATTATCGTTAGCTACTTCTATTGTTCCATTTATTAACATTAAATAACATTACTTAAAACAACCATATTAATTTTACTACAGCTACAACCAAGGTCTTATTTTCTTCAGTTTTATATGTAGAACCAGTCAGTCACTGGTTTTGTAATCAACGAAAATAATGCTGTGTCATTTCCTCGTGTGTTTTAATATTCTACATATTATTAATGAATTCTATTGCTCATTTTGCACACATAAACATTAATTCAATAAAAAAGACATTCAGTAATAAACAACAATGAATCTCTTGTACATAAGAGAAATGACGCTGTTTACACGATTATGCACGTCGTCTGCACGTTGGCGGGCCGTTCAAACCCGTCGAAATTCAAGTTTCCGCCATCAAAATTTTTATTTATTTATTTTTTTGTGTGTTCCAATAAAATACATTAAGAATTAAAAACTTGCGAAATTTGAGAAGCTACTATGTGACATTTAACCCTTCAATATGTCTTCAAAGAGACCATGACACAGAGAAAGTGGTGCTAGTGCTTTCAGGCATAAGCACAAGTCACTATCTTTCCAGGAAAAGGGTGAATTTCCATGGTCCGGCAATTTCCATGGTCCGGCACCGGTCAGGTCCCGAGGTTGCCGGATTAGAGAGGTACAACCTGTATTATTATTATTATTATTATTATTATTATTATTATTATTATTATTATTATTATTATTATTATTATTATTATTATTATTTATTATTATTATTT